GTATATTCTATTATTTTTGGACTAGTAACATCCTTAATCTTAACAATAGATGCTATATTTTAATATCACAACAATAACTTGCATTATATATTTCAGTTAGAAGTAACATATTTAGTATCGTTATTAATATTAGCAGCAAATCATTCACTTAGCACTCTATCTAGTCTATCTGATAAATTTAAACATTAGCTTTGGCCTTAATTTACCTAGATACAATAGTTAATTTGTTTATTATATGCTATTCTATAAGGATAACAATTAGATGGAAATTGTCTAAACAAGAATGTGGTGATAAAGTAAGAGTTTTTTAGTTAGTGATCCCACTTGATCCAACTGGCTGGGTGCGAATCTTAACATTAGTGATCCATTATATTATTTTAGTGTGTTTATGTTTTTAATTTTGCTTAGTTAATATTATGTTAGAAACTGAAACCGAACCCCCTTCAAAAGTAGCATGTACCATATTTACCTTATTATATGCAATATCAATTATAGTATCATCTGAAATACTACTACAAAAAAATCCAATATCAGAAATTTTGGCTCATTGGGGTTATAAAGAAATAATAATTATGATTATGTCTGTAGGAGATGTATTAGCTACAATAATACTTTTAATTGAGAAATTATTTTAGTATTGATATTTTTTTATCTTTATATATTACTTATTTTCTTTTTATATTATTTATTTTTTTATTATAGTAGAATGAACAACTTTGGTATGATGAAACTAATCAAAGATCAGTTAAAATTCAAGTTAAATTTGTTGAACAATGATTGTAATTAAATTTAAAATTTAATCGATTCTTTGAATTGTATTAGGTTTAATACTTATTTATAGTGATAGATATTCAATATAAATTATATTACTGTATTTATAGATATTCAATCAATGCCTATAAATAAAATAAACTTGAATATTAAACTTACATGAATTCAAATAAATAAATTTATTAAACAACGAAATTAAAAAAAAAAATCCAGATAAATTATAGTAAGATGACCAGGCCACGTGTTAGGTGGGTCTTGTGCTTTAGCCCGTGAAATATAAAGTTTACAAACTTTGCTTTCATCTTTGTCAGTACCAATATAGTAATTTGAAAGTAAATTGATCTTTATTTTGTATATTAAAATTTTAATTGAAAATAATAAAATTAAATAAAATAACTTATATTATTATCTCAATTAGATTTTAAATTATTTTAATTTTTATTTAAACATGAAAACTTTAATGCATTTAAAATTTGGATTTTCCTAAAAAATTTTGAACACAGAACATATCTATTCAAAATATACTTGGGTTCGTGAGATTAGAAATGAGACAATTAAATTAAATTCAGTTCGTTCTTTGACAGCAACTAGAGGCCATCAGAAAATAAGCTCACAAAAGCTGAGTTAATTTCATAGTTAACTATCAATTGAATCTTTTCTAGAAGAAGAGATTTTCTACTTTAAATACAAATTTTATTTTTAGTAATTCTTGAAAGAATGAATTCAGCATTTTTAAACAAGAAATATATCGCCCAATCAGATTTCAGTGTTGTGGACCTAAAAACTATAAATTAATAAAATCTTTCAAAATATCATAAAAATTCCAAAAAGAGATATTTTGAAGGCTGGTACTTCAAGTTTGAAAGTCAAGATTATGATATATCATTATAATATTTAGAATTTTTAAATCGCAAATTGATAGTCATTTATTTATTATATTTATTAAAGAAGAAACTGCTCATTATTACAAATTTGATATTAATAATTTTTTCTACGATTTTAAAAATTTTAACATCAAAATTGATGATAATTTTTTCAACGAGAATGAATATTCTTGAATTTAAGATTCGATAAAATAGTTGATACTTAAAATCATGTAATGCGCCAGATCAATTTTTAAAATTTAATTTTTCGAAACATAGTGTAAATATTAAAGCGAGCATAAGATTTAACAAGATTCTTTTCAAAAGCATTTTTACAAATGTCATGGGACCATTTAGATTGTTTTCAAACTTTATTGATTGCAACAATAACGACCTACAAAATTTAAGAAACAAAAATTGGAATGGTAACATTAAAAAAGATTGGGGCGTAATGTTTCCTGAAGATTACATGTAGGTTAAATGAGATTATCCGTCACATAACATAAACTCATTATGTTTGGATAATTTAGACTAAGCAAAAAAACAATTTCTTCCTTTACTTCATTGCTTAATTCTTTCTCAATTATTTTTAAAAATTTTAATGATATGCATTTTGACTTAAGCATAGTTCTATTTAATTCAATGTCATTATCAATTAATTCGAGCCTTTGAAGATTTTGTAAATTATTTACTTCTCCAAAAGGATTTCCATAAGATTGTTTTATTGATAAAACCTCCAAGTTTGGCATAATATTTGCAATATTATCTTTATCAAATTTGATTTCTTGTAAAATTAGTTTTTAAATACTTTGAGATTTTGCTTGCAGCATTTTTTGTTGCAATAAAGGTATAATTCTAGAAGTACTGAAATATTTCAGTTCTATTTCCTTGAGTTCAGGTTGAGCATTAATTAAATTTAAAAATGGCTCATGGTAATTTTGTGGTATATCTTCATTATATGCCATAATATGGATGGTCTGAATTCTTTTGTTCTGTACTGAAATTAAGTTAATATGATTGTTTATGTTCATGTTTTGATTATTTGTAAATTTAAATTCGCATTCTCTCAATTCTGATGAATAGAACCATAAACTAGGTATTAAAGAAAACGTTGCCGTTGAACAAAAAAGTTGGCATCATCAGCCGCCATTTGGATTATTACCTTCTGCTTTTAATCAATCCCAGGAATATTTTAATAATATTAAGAATAAAGATAAAATATTATTTCTGAAGAAATTATAATTAAAGGAAATGAAACAATTTGTTTTTAGCCAAATAGAAATTCCGAACCTACTATGGTGATGTACAGCCTGGAGTTATATATATTCGGGTTTATTCTCAAAAAGTTAATGCTACAATCACTTATACATATGAAGGACACTCATTATATCTCTTGATATGTGAAGTAAAATTACTGAATGCATCAAGTTGTGGTGTCTATAATAAGCTTATTTGGTCATTAAATGATGCCATCAATGATTTTATTATATTTTTTTCAAAAACTGCTAAAATTATTACTTTTGGCTTAAAACTTCTTTTTAGTAAGATAAGATAGGTTGGGCTATTTGTTTTCGGTAAGATACTTTAAGATAATCGTCTTATAACATTGACTTGAATTTATTTTCTCTTTTAAATTTGTTTTTAATCCACGTTTTTTGTTTAATTATACTTTGTAGTGATACTTCCATATATTTTATTAACTTTATATGCTGGGGAGAGATAGCGCAAATTCACTAATTGGTAGTTAGGATTGGTAGATTTTTGTAATGATAATGTTATATGAATTTTGTAGTCATTAACATTAAGATTAAGCACTGTCCGTAGATTTTGCAGACTATAAGTCTAGAGTCACCACCCTAAAAGATTTTGCTGTTTTATCTCTAGTATATTAAAATGGAAAGTTTTTAGAAATCTAAAATAGAAACAAAGCAAAATGAATAAATCAATGGAGAACCCATTTTCTCTTTAATTATGCAAAAACCAGCCGT